GAGAGGAACTGGAAGAAACATTGGAGACTAAGCAACTGAGAGCCTAGCTTCTGCTGTATTGCTTTCAAAGCCTGCTATTTTTGTGTCTACCATTGTACACCAATAGTGAAATTGTTATAGGAGCACCTTGATCCTTGAGATTTTTGTTGGGCTTTCTATTAATGCGGTATTTCTTCTCTCACTTGTTCAACGGTAGGTCATTTCAGTGTACCCAGTCAACACAAAGTTAAACCAGCTTCCTTTGTGAGTTGGGTTGGGGAATTGGAAAGAATAGTACAATTTTGCCCTTTTGCTCTAGTTTAGGTAAAATGGTGCTCGTGGCTTTCTATAAATGTTAATATTTGTTCAGCCTAGAGAAGAGAAGGCTTTGGGGAGACCTTACTGCAGCCTCTCAATACTTAAAGGGGGCTTATAAGAAAGATGGCGGCAAACTTTTAGCAGGGCCTGTTGCGACAGGACAAGGGGGAATGGCTTTAAACTAAAGTGGGTTAGATATAGACTAGATATAAGGAAGAAATTTTTTACACTGAGAGGTGGTGGATGCCCCATCCCTGGAAACATTCAAGGTCAGGTTGGACGGGGCTCTGAGCAACCTGATCTAGTTGAAGAAGTCCCTGCCCACGGCAGGGGGGTTGGACTAGATGACCTTTAAAGGTCCCTTCCAACCCAAACTGTTCTATGATTCTATGATTTGTTGTGATGTCTCTGCTTTTTCTGTAGAAAGGCATTTAAGGCATCTTCACTGAAGTGTAGTTATTCAAGAGTTAAATGTGTAACTTGAACAAATTCCTTCTGAAAAGGAATTCTTCATCCATCCATCTCCCATTTTAGCTGTCAGCGTCTGCCACAAAATACTGCATTACATGACCTGAATAGAAGTAGAACACTTATTCAAAGCCCTCACACTCCCATTGAAATGGAGGGGACTGCTGTATATTCTATTGCCAGTTTACATACCAGGATTTTTTGTCTTACACTAAGTGAATGAGATATTCTATTCCAGACACTTGCTGTCTCTTTGGCAAGATGCATGGTTTGCTTTCCTCAGTCCCCCCTTTCTGCACCCTTAGATCTGACCCATTTCTCGTCCAGTGAGTTCCTCAGAGTTTCTACCTTGTAGTAGAGTTGCTCTTGGGCTGCTGAAAACTGCGATGTTCTGCCTCCTAGCCTGGCTTTCTAAGGAAAAGATGCTATGCAGGGCTAACTTCAAATTTGATTACTTGAATTCCTGTGAGTTTTGTGAAAACTGGCATCTTGATAGATGTTAATTAGCTTCAGCTGAGGAAAAATAATCCTTTTAGTTGTTTGGCTCGTGCGGTGACTGAAAAGCAATGGCTCACTCATTGCTTCGGAAATGTGTACTGGCCTGCCAGTTGGCACATATGTACCCTGTGCCGTGGCGTGTCCAAAACTGATTCTTGCCTAGTTGTTAGAGCAGTCAGATGCCGGGAAAAAGAGAGGACACAAAATTACTGTGGCGTGAAACTCAGGGAGGCAGGGGGAGGTGCAATACCTGATGCTAGTAACCTTAGGGGTGGATTTTGCAGTTAGCGGGAAACCTGATGTATCAGTTTTTCTGCCCACAGAACAGCTTGCAGCAATTGGGGATTTTTGTTTTGCTGTTCTTTTATGGAAATGCTGAAAATAAACCTCGCATTGCTACTAATATATCCAGAGATGATATCTGCATGTCATTTCTTCAACCAAAAGGCTCTTAGCATAATAAAAATGCTTTCTGAACTGAACTCTGATCCTATAAAAATGCCCCATTAATCCTGTAGAGTGATGTCATCCCCACAGACTTGCTTTCTAAATGAGAAACGTTCATGGAATCGGGCTGCTGTCTGCCTGGGTGGCTGAAGATTTTTATTCTGAACAGTTACTTACTGATCACCCACTAGAGGGCTTAACTTCACTGGGGAAGCGTAACTACCGTGAAGTTTGAAGGTGTAAGGAGAAAACCTGTTCATACAAATGTTTCCTTTCCTGATGTCCTGATTCTGCAGGGATGGCAATCAAGCTCTTGTCATTGAGCATCCGCTCTGGCCAGGGACACACTTCCACAGAGAAATAATGACAGTTTGATCTTCAAGCCCCTAGCGAGGTTCTTCAGCATCTATGGAGGTGGTTCCTGGAAAAGAAGAAATGCCCCTAACCTCGTATTGTCCAGCTCTTTCATTAGTTTCACTGATGCTAATGCTTAGGAAGATCAGGTGCGCGCATCAAAATGTGACCTCACTTGAACTCTTCGTTGAAAATACCAGTTCAATGAAGGCTGGAGTGTGAGCTCTAAAAAGCACCATGTTTTGTTAATGATGACGGGGGATCCAATTCCAAACCAGGGCAAGCTTGTACCCGTGGCACTGAAGGCAATTATTTTCTCTCCCATGGTTTATAATCCTGATAAACTGTGTAACCTGTATAGAAAATTAAGTCATCTCAAATGTTATGTTGGAAAATTTGGGGCAAATTAATTTTGACTGTAATAAATATATTAACATTGAAATGTTTAGATTTTATTTTTAAAGAAAAATCTGTAACTTAAAAATGTAACACTAGCATTTTTAAAGTATGGACCAGTGTGTTCTGTATTGTGTTTGTTTTCTTACAAAAGTGATTATTTGCTAATGCATTTTTTCTGTTCAAACTTTTCAGAAGTCCCAATCTGTGAGTATTCTACTTCTTGTGTAGATAATGTGTGTCGTTGCCTCAATATAATTTGATTCATTTTTTTAATCTCTTTCTTAATATAGTCCTCTGAGTTACAGTTCAGTGTACTTGGCTGAATAATTCTTTTCCCTTATTAGCTAACATCCTTCATGTGCTTGGGACTGTGCTGTTTCCTACCCTGCCTTGAGTGGAGATATCCAGACCTAATGAAACCTGTTGCTCTAACTGTTACAAAGCCCCTTTGCAGCTGATGAGGCTTGGCCTACTTTTTAAATATTAGGAGTTAAACAACCGTGAAATAGTAACATGCACCAAATATTCCCTGAACTTTGCTACAGAAAAATTGTAAAAAAAAAAAAATAGTAACATGCACCAAATATTCCCTGAACTTTGCTATAGAAAAATTGTTAAAAAAAAAAAAAAGGTTATTTTTGATAGTTTCTGTTAAACCAAAAGAATTCATTTATATTAATGGAAAGATTTATTTGTGAAGCTGCATATGAAGCATGGTGTGAAATATGGTCTTGAAGAAGGGAAGAATCCCAATTTCTCATAAGAGTTTGAAACAGTTTCTAAACCAGACTTAGCTTGAAAGTAAGGTAACACGGAGACTGGTAATGGAATTTGGAATCTCTAATGCTTGGGTTCATCTCAGCTTGAGAGCAACCTAAGGCATTGTCCTCTAAGAGTAGGTTTATGAGAGGGTGAAATGTTGAGTAGCCTCTGCCTCCTCCTATAAGATAGATGCCCACATAGTAGTTCACAGTCTGTGAGTAGTGTGTTAATTTGGATCAGGAACTCGCTTCTTTTGCTTCTGTTTGCAGTCTGGAGTGGTTTTGGACCACACGGAGCAGACGAAACTACGCTGGGAGATGCAGTCCAGCTGCAGATAAGCAGCCAGTCCATGGGACCAGCCCATAGCTAGTCAGAAGCAAAATCAAAGCAGAAAACCTCTTGAAATGCGAATTATGTGAATGCCAGCTTCTCAGATCCAACAGTAATAAAAATAATTCTTAAGCAACACTCCAAACACAGTGTAGTGTTATAACATGTATCAGTTTGCAGTAAGTATCCTTGGGCCACCAGTGATCCTGAACCTGCATGAGTACTGTTGGCTGCTAGGTGGACACAGGGTTTTGTCTTCGTCTGTGGCTGGAGAGGTTGTGTTTTCCTTTGCCTTCTCTTCTCATCCAGCTGGGGAGTGGGGAAGAGAAAGGGCTAGGAGAAATGATGGGAGAACTTCTACCCGAGACAGGCTGTCAACTTCTGAATTTTATTCTGGTCCAAACCCACCTTCTGTAGCATGCGCAGGGGGTCTCACAAAGCACATCCTAGGAAGAGTGGAGGGTTAGGCAAAAGATAGGCTTCGCAAAATAAAATGAGTAGTAGCAGTTTCAATTAGCATTATATGTGTCTTTAAAACTGCGCTTTTTAATGATTCTGTTAATGTTAGGGTAAAGCAGGTAAGATTTTTCTATCTTTAAATATGATCATTTTTAATTTTGCTGAAATTATATTTTTGTATTTTAATGAAAATTAGAAACAAAACCCATTGGCCCTGTTGACTTCTTTCTCCTTTTTGCTAATATGAAATTTTCATAACATGTTTTATTAAAAATGAAATATAATTATCCTCTGCGAAGCCTTCTTTTGTGATAGAAGCAAATTATACACAAAAATGTATCTAAAATATTCTTAAAAATCCAGGTGTATTATTTAATGGAAGTTCATGTCTCTCCTTTTAGAACAGATAAGGAACGTTAATATGTTAATCTCTAAGACCATTTGGTTATAATTCATACAGTAGCATCATTGCAGGGTCTTGCAAAAATATTTCACTGTAATAAGCAGTAAAGGGCAGCACTCAGCGCAAGCCTCAAAGCACACAAAGGTGTGTGACGACTGAAGGAAGTCTCAAACCATCGTGACATGGCAACATTTCTATGTCATTGTCTGCTATGTTATAAAGGGCCGATTCAATTCAACAGAGGAGTAATACTCGCAGGTCTGGTGAAAGTGTAACTAATACAGACTCTGCTGAGGAGCTACCATGCATTACCAATGAGAGACATGCAGCCAGAAAGTTGCATGCAACGCTTGCAAAGCTCCTGAAGGTGTATGTAGCTACCAAGCTTGATGTCTCCTTTTCTTTTCCTTTTTTGCATTGCATTATTTGAAATAATGCATCCAACTATCTAACTTTTAGAGGATTTAAACACACTGTAGAAATACACAGTTCTAAGATGCCATCGTAATCAAAGCCATTAATTTGGATAAATTTCCTACTACTAAGTTATACTGAAATGAACGTTGTGGGAAAGCTCAATTTAATGATACCGTGGAGTATATTCTTGCTTCATTCACTGCTGTCCTCTTTGCAAGGTAAGAACTTTATTCCATTTTTGTAGTAATACTAACTTTTAAAAAGATTTTTCTAAATATTTCAATAATACGGCTTCTTATTTTTCTATCATTATAAAGCAATTTTTTTGAACCTTGCTGGAATTCATAAATAAAAAAGTTTTTTAACACAGGTTATAAAACTATATATCACCATTCTCTCTCACAGGTGTAGAAACTAAAATATAGCTCTTACTTTTTTTTT